TGCCGCCGTGGGGTTGCACACGCGTGTTTGCGTGCACATGGATGCGTGAGTGCGCAGGGGGGTGCGTGCACATGCATTTGTGCTGGCATGGGGTTGCACGTGCGTGTGCGTGCACGTGGATGTGTGTGTGGGGGGGGTTACAAACGCGGGCGTGCACAGGGGCGTGCACGGGCAGTTTTGCCAGGACGGGGTTGCACACGTGTGTTCGTGTGCACACGGGCCTGGGCAGCAGTGGGGTTGCACACACGTGCGCGTGCACGTGGAACGTGCGCAGGGATGCGTGTGCACAGGTGGTTGTGTAGCAGCGGGGCTGCACACGCATGTGGGCGTGCAGAGAGGCGTGCGCATGGCTGTGTGCAGGGACGGGTTGCACACGCGTGGGCCTGCGCGTGGACGTGTGTGCAAAGGGATCTGTTGCCACCCCTGGGGTTGTGCACGCGTGTTTGTGTGCCACGTGGGTGTGTGCAAGGAGGTGTGCGTGGCCGGGCGCGCGCGTGCACGGACGTGCACCGGGCTGCGTGTGCGTTTGAGCTGGGACGGGGTTGCACGCGTGTGTGCTCGCACATGGGTGTGTGCAGGGGTGTGGACGCACTTGTGTGTGTGCAAGGAGGGGGTTGCGCGCGCGTGTGTGTGCACACGGGGGCGTGCAGGGAGGTGCACAAGCACGTGCGTGTGCTTGGCGGCGGTTGCACACGTGTGTGTGCACGTGGGGGTGTGCTGGGATGGGGCTGTGCACGTGTGTGTGCTTGCACGTGGAAGCGCGTGCACATGTGTGCGTGTCAGGATGGGATGCACACGCGTGTGTGCACGACTGTGAGCACCTGGGTGTGTGCAGGGCTGCACGCGTGTGCAGGGGTGTGTGTGTGCAAGCAGGCGTGTGCAGCAGCTGCACGCACACACGTGTGCATCATTGTACGCTTGCGTGTGCACACGCGTGTGCAAGCGCATGGATGCAGGCCTGGATGCGTGTGCACACAGCACGTGAGCACAGGAGCGTGTTCAGGGATGCGTGTTGGGATGTGAGCGTGTGTGCACACGCGTGTGTGCATGGCTGTGCCCGCACATGGGTGTGCAGTGACGCGTGCAGGCATGTGCACGCACACGTGTGTCTGTGCAGGGACGTGCGTGTGCGCGTGTCCATGTGCAAGATGTCTGCAGGGACGTGCACGCACACGCGTGTGCAAGGAGATGTCTGCAGGGACGTGCACGCACACGCGTGTGCAAGGGTGCTCCCGGGGGGCACGAGGAGGGGAGGGTGTTGGCAGCCGTGCAGGGCGCGGCACGCGGCGCACGGGGGCTTGTGCCGGGGGTGGATGTGGCCACGCGTGGTCCAAGCGTGCGCGGTGTGCGTTGCACCGAGGGGGGTGTGCGCGCTGCATTGCGGCACCCGTGTGCACGCCTTGTGCGTCGCACGGCCCGTGCGCGGGGCATCGCTCGGGTACGCACAGAGCGCTGCAGCCACTGTGCACACTCAGCGTGCATTGCACGGCCCGTGCAAGCTGCATTGCAGCCACTGTGCACACTCGGCGTGCATTGCACGGCCCGTGCAAGCTGCATTGCAGCCACTGTGCACACTCGGCGTGCATTGCACGGCCCGTGCAAGCTGCATTGCAGCCACTGTGCACGCATGGTATGCGTTGCACGGCCCGTGCAAGCTGCATTGCAGCCACTGTGCACGCATGGTGTGCATTGCACGGCCCGTGCAAGCTGCATTGCAGCCACTGTGCACGCATGGTGTGCGTTGCACGGCCCGTGCAAGCTGCATTGCAGCCACTGTGCACGCGCAACATGCGTTGCACGGCCCGTGCAAGCTGCATTGCAGCCACTGTGCACGCATGGTGTGCATTGCACGGCCCGTGCAAGCTGCATTGCAGCCACTGTGCACGCGCAACATGCGTTGCACGGCCCGTGCAAGCTGCATTGCAGCCACTGTGCACACTCAGCGTGCATTGCACGGCCCGTGCAAGCTGCATTGCAGCCACTGTGCACGCATGGTGTGCGTTGCACGGCCCGTGCAAGCTGCATTGCAGCCACTGTGCACGCGCAACATGCGTTGCACGGCCCGTGCAAGCTGCATTGCAGCCACTGTGCACACTCAGCGTGCATTGCACGGCCCGTGCAAGCTGCATTGCAGCCACTGTGCACGCGCAACATGCGTTGCACGGCCCGTGCAAGCTGCATTGCAGCCACTGTGCACACTCGGCGTGCATTGCACGGCCCGTGCAAGCTGCATTGCAGCCACTGTGCACGCGCAACATGCGTTGCACGGCCCGTGCAAGCTGCATTGCAGCCACTGTGCACGCGCAACATGCGTTGCACGGCCCGTGCAAGCTGCATTGCAGCCACTGTGCACACTCAGCGTGCATTGCACGGCCCGTGCAAGCTGCATTGCAGCCACTGTGCACACTCAGCGTGCATTGCACGGCCCGTGCAAGCTGCATTGCAGCCACTGTGCACGCATGGTGTGCGTTGCACGGCCCGTGCAAGCTGCATTGCAGCCACTGTGCACGCGCAACATGCGTTGCACGGCCCGTGCAAGCTGCATTGCAGCCACTGTGCACACTCGGCGTGCATTGCACGGCCCGTGCAAGCTGCATTGCAGCCACTGTGCACACTCAGCGTGCATTGCACGGCCCGTGCAAGCTGCATTGCAGCCACTGTGCACACTCGGCGTGCATTGCACGGCCCGTGCAAGCTGCATTGCAGCCACTGTGCACACTCGGCGTGCATTGCACGGCCCGTGCAAGCTGCATTGCAGCCACTGTGCACACTCGGCGTGCATTGCACGGCCCGTGCAAGCTGCATTGCAGCCACTGTGCACGCATGGTATGCGTTGCACGGCCCGTGCAAGCTGCATTGCAGCCACTGTGCACGCGCAGCATGCGTTGCACGCCCCGTGCGAGGTGCTTACTGCACCAGGGTGCCCGTGCGCGGCGCGTTGCTTTGACCGCGCGCGGCCGCGGTGCGGTGCGTTGCCCGTCCACGGTCCCGCGTCGCACGGAGCTGCCCTTGCACGGTGTCCCGCCTTGGCCACGCACGTGGCGCGGCGCGTTGCCCGTGGCCGCAGTGCACTCTGCGCCGAGCTGCCTGTGCACGGTGAATTGCGCTGCTGGTGCGCCTGCACAGCGCGTTGCCTTGCCCGTGCAAGGTGCGTTTCACCCCGAGCTGCCCCTGCGCGAGGCCTTGCAGTGACCGCGCACCCGCACGATGCGTTGCACTGCCCGTGCATGTGCATGATGCATTTTGCTGCCCGTGCACGGTGCGTATTGCACCAAGCCACCCCTGCACGGTGCATCGCTTTGGCCATGCACGTGCACGATGCATTGCACTGCCTGTGCATGGTCCACCCTGCACTGAGCTGCCTGTCCCCAGTGCGTTGCATTGACCGTGCACGTGCACGTGCCCGTGCACGATGCATTGCACTGCCTGCGCATGGTCCACCCTGCACTGAGCTGCCTGTCCCCAGTGCGTTGCATTGACCGTGCACGTGCACGATGCATTTTGCTGCCCGTGCACGGTGCATGCTGCCCCGAGCTGCCCCTGCACGGGGCATCACTTTGGCTGTGCATGTGCACGATGCGTTGGACTGCCCGTGCACGGTGCATGCTGCCCTGAGCTGCCCCTGCACGGTGCGTTGCACTGCCCGCGCATATGCACGATGCATTTTGCTGCCCGTGCACGGTGCGTATCGCCCCGAGC